GCATCTTTAATAGCATAGCTCAAGTCTGAATAGATCGAGTACTGAAATAAAGACACGTAAAATTCATTACTTATAGTCATACACTACCTCTCATTTAGAGAGGTTCACAAAGAAAGCCTTCCCTTCTCACGTAAGGAAGACGAACAGAAAATCTAGATCACTGAAATTTAAACCCTCCTTAATTAATGCAACATCAAATTGAACAGCACAACTCCTTCACATAAAATAAAGTACAAAGCCACATTTGTTTTATTACTTTATAGTATTCATTTACACAGCAGCTAATACGTGCTTTGTAGACTTGTATATTCCTAAGAATCTCAATACCACACTATAAACCAAGAGAAAATATTAGAACATCATATTTACAAAAAGCTTCTTGAGTAAGCTTAGTTGTTATTTTTAAAGTACTGCTCACAGCTTATGAATGTTCTAGCAGAAACACTTTAATGCCATTTTTTACTTTTCCCCTTTTAGTCAGAGATTCTGTGAGCTATTCCAAATCCTCTATATTTCTACACTTAAACACACTCTCCTTCCAGTGCAGTCAAAACTATCTCAGAGAAATGCAGCCATTTCACAGAACACAGAAATCACACAAGAGGTCAGCACACAAAGTAGATTTTTCCATGTAAAAGGAGGAGGAAAAGTGGTGTACACAGTCTCATTAAGAATTAGCTCGCAGTCCACTGAACAAAAACTCAATCTTTCATTTTAGGAGTCTTCTATAATAGCTAGGACATGGGCTTCCCAGAAACGAAAAAGAGAAAGAGGGTTTGATAGCTATTTATTCATTCTGGACCCAAACTCTTCACCCACTCCATCAACCAAAAAAAAAGATTATCAAGGACTTCAAAGAGTTCTGTGTCACGTGAAGTCTTACTGACAGTTATACAAATGAAACCCTACCACTGAAGCATACAAAAACCTACAGATGTTATTGCCAAATGATTAGACTAACATGACAGCACGGAAGACAAACATCACTTGTACAAACATCTTGATTAGTGATAAAAGCACTTTCTTTGTGAACTCCTCTAAAAACTGAAAGTGTGCAAGGGCTAAGCAGCAAACAGCAAGAAAATTCCCAAAATGAACATTAGACACAGAAAGAATAAAGCACAAAGACTTGAGAGGAACAGAAACAGAGGCTATCTCATTTGCATGCCTCTAACTGAAGTCTGTTTTTTTACTTTTCTCAAAATAGAGACATTTCAGACCCTCCCCTCAACATATCATCACAGAAAGTTCTAAACATTTGTCTCTAATTGACCTTAAATTGACAGTATTATCACAAAAATTCAATCATTTTTGCAGTCATCTCTAATTTAAGCCCCCATATTTTTTTTCATGCAAAAATTTGTTTTCTTAATCACATCCCTAACTTTAGATGATGTTGTATGTCTGGCATCTATAATTTTTTTTTTACTACACAGAGAGAGGGAAACAATTATTTTTTATTTCACCTTTTCTCAATAGATGGTAGTAACAACAAAGGTGTTTCAGGCATCAGCTGGGACCTTCTGCTACTGAACGTTTACTAAACAGAACACAAGTACAAAGGGGGATCCTGACTATTCCTGGGAGTGAAAGTTCAGAGAGAAAGAAAAATAAAACAAATACATGTCTGTAAGGTAAGAAAATGGTTCAGCAGTTAAATCGAGAATGTCTAAAGATAAGAACTTATCTATGGGAAAGTGGCATTTTGGCGAACACAACTCACAAAGCAATATATGGAAGAGAAGACTCAAGCCCAGGCCATCAGCAATGAGTTCTACCACAAAACAAAAAGCTTTCCTATTCTCACCAAGATTTACTTTCCCTAGGCAGCAGTAAATCTCTTCCTGTCATTTAACTCAATTTAAACTATTACACATTTGGGCGATTCGGACACTGGATGCTTTAGGCTTCTAATTTACAATAGTTTGAGGTCTGAATAGGAGACTGCTTATCTCAAACTTAATTTCAGAAATATTTTTGCTTCTTTTAAATTTTTAAGTTTAGCAAGAAAATACATTTGCAGGAGTAAAATGTACCTATTACTAGAAATCAATAGTTAATGTAGATGTAATCACATTTATTTGTCTTGGAAAGAACATACAAATCCTATTCTGCCCCCTGCTTCCAGCTTTTCTTAAACTAAGGACTGCTCCTGCTAGAAAAAGAATCTTTATTCATCACTATTGTTATCAGAAGATCTGCATGCAATATTGATTTTTTTTCCATAATTCAGTCATAACCATTTAAACAACAACAAAAAACAACAGGATATTGCTTTCTCTCAAGTAGAAAGAAGCAGAGCAAATACAATCAGGTTTTAATTAAAAAGGATGTTGATTTGAGTCCAGTACTATCAATAATTAGAGCTTTGCTTTAATTATGTCCTTCCTAGAAACGACAGCATTAGAAGCATTTATTGACTGCAAGCGATAGCTGAAGAAGGACAAGAGACTCACAGCATTTATGAACAGTCATCTATAAATGTAAAGGCAGAATGAGAACACGAAAGTAGTCATTAGGAAACAAAACCACCCCAATTCTATTAACTGGGTTTCAAAAGATGCTTTAGGGGACAAATACTCAGGCTACAGTTTCATCACAGCTTCAGGAAATTCATAAGCACATCACAAATTTGTCTGATCTCCAGGCACACCCCTTATTTTAAGTACTTAAGAACATCAGCTTTTTCAGTAAAATCTTAATGCCTCTTGCTTGAAACAAACTGCTCACACGTGCCTATTGCCATAGAAGTGAACAGCAAAGTAAACCAGTTGTGTACTTTCAGTTTCCTTAAAAGCATGAAGGTGACTTCATTTAGAACTTAGAGAATATCACAAAAGTCCTAGTATTGCTGCTCGGCTAGTCAGGTCAATGTTTCTCAACATGACCTGTAAAAAGGAGAGGCGTTCTCACTCATACAAGCAAGCCAATAATTTGTGGGGAAAAGAGAAGTGAAAATTCAGATTTTGGCTTATAAAAGTTGTAGGTTAAGAGCATAGCAATTGCTAGATGAACAGTTTGAGATAGCCTTACATGGGGGCGTGGACTTCACAATGGAAGAAACAGGGATCAATTTTATCATCAACTGGACTACTTTTACATTGCAAAAATCTTTGCACAGCACAAGACTATTCCAAGAACAGTATTTCCTATTTACATCAACACTTTTTTGTGTGCGCTATTCCACGAAAAAAATACCCGGGAAAAAAACCACCACACATCTGGGGTTTTTTCAGGATTAGCTCTCAATTATAAACACAAGCCGAGACTGTGTATTCTAGCCGAGTTTTCTGGAAATTTAAGTAGCTATGACAAAGAGAAAGCTAATCACGTGATTAATGGAACAGACAGGCATGACAACCAGGAGATTGCTTTTAATTATTCTGGATGCAAACACTACACATGAAGCAGTGAACTATTATGCCAGGCAATGTACAACAACAAACTTCCCTAGCAACAAACAAACAACAGCCGTTAAATCTGGAGGGGGCGGGGGTGGTGGTTAAGAACTATTCCATGACATTAAAGCACATCTGGCTTTCATTTTACATACTGTTCTAGCAGGAGGACAATTAGGTTAACAAACTTAATGCCTGCAGCCCACCTGTAACTGTTTGCTATTCCTCTTCCTCTTTCTTATCCTCACCCTTTTTCAACAGGGTTTCACCTGCCCATTACAGAGCAACATCTGCAGTTGTTCCCTAACTGAGGTCTACAAAAATTTCTAGGCTGCTTTAAACATTTGTTTAAATTCAGATCATTAAGAGGCTCAGGTTCAGGAATGACCTCAGCCAATCTAAAAATAGACGAATGTATTGCAGGAAGGGACAATGGCAACAAACAGCCTAGGTCAGGTCCTCAGATGACCTTCAGAACAAAATATTTTATTAATCTTCATTTATTATTTCTGTATGGTTGAGTTCCTCAGTGCAGAACATACTTCCCTGGTTCCTATTCTGTTTAAAATACGACATTTTAAAGAGTCAACCTCTTACTACAGTGTTACAAAACCAACTCCAAATACAGGCAGGGCATCCACAGGTTAGACATAACTCATTATTATAAAACCCCAGCATACCAGGTTGGAAGGGACCTCAAGGATCATCTGGTCCAACCGTTCTTGGGAAAAGCACAGTCTAGATAAGACAGCCCAGCACCCAGTCCAGCTGAATCTTAAAAAGTCTCCAACGTTGGGGAATCCACCACTTCCCTGCAGAGATTATTCCAACAGCTGACTGTTCTTTTTGTAAAACATTTTCCTCTAGTGTCTAATTGGAATCTCCCTGGGAGCAACTTGTACCCATTAACCCTCCTCTGTTCCA